AATCCTCATTTTTCTTTTTCACTATTCTTTCTGTAGATGTTTTGGATCAGCTACGTTATTACTATCCAGCGCGATGTATGATTCTCCATATCGTAGTGTAAGCCACCTTTATCTTAATTGGACCTACTTCAATGCAATCGTGTATTACTGTGCTCATCTTAAAATAAATTATCAAAACTCTTTCAAGTAGGTAGCTGCGTCAGCATGCGTAGGCTGCAAAGGAACAAGCAAAGGTTTATTCCATGCTTCAAAGAGAAGAAAAGAGAAACAACGCGCCCACACCCGAGGAAGGCTCCACAGCCGAAACGTTGCGTTTCTTTTTCTTTTCAGCATGGAATAAGCCTTTATTTGTTACTTAAGAACTAGCCAAGAAAATAATATTACATTCAAAACAACGGATTAAAAATATTAACATTAATAATATGGAAAAGAGAAACTTCAGAAATTCTGGGAGCATTGAACTTCTCTTCAGAGCTAAATGTTTTCTGTGATGATTCATTTGTCAGGATGTTGAAAAACATGAATCCATTTCCGCAACTACCATACTTTATGCACGTATGCACGCTCAAGTTAAGAACTCTTAAACTTGTTATACCGCGTAATAGGCTTAATAATAATAGAAATACCACAACTATTTGTGATTCTAAATAGTAATGTGCACTTTGGTACATCTTTTAATGTTTTCAGTTTATGTTCTGAGGCGGTAACTTTCTACACATTTTATCATCTTATTTTAACATTTATTTTATTTAATGACTGTATTTTCTAAATTTGTGTTAATTGGAAAGGGCTAATAAGGACTTAATTTATATCTCTTCCTTCTGGTTTAGCTGACTGAATATGACGGATCGTTTCGCTTAACATAAACTTACGAAAGGAAAGAAACTGGAATAGAATGTAATACAATAAAAATGACGAAAGCCTATTTCATTTATTTCTGAGACGCGTGTTCCGTAATTTTTTTCTATTATGACAGCCCTGAAAAATCCAGTTTGTTTGTAAAGGTTATCCAAGGATCGTCTATCTTTTACAGTTTCCTCCTCGAAACTGATAACAAAAAAAAACGTAATGACTTAGTAAGCAGGATAAAAGCCAGATGTATGGGAAGGACGCATGGCTTTTAAAAGCAAAACGTAGATATATAGTATCATGATAATTTTAGACGTAAAATCTTAGTTGATTCGTTTTGTAGTCCACAGAAGCGTACTCTAGATATACAAATCAGGAAAAACGGAATCGGTTGTTCTAATATTATTTATGAAGTATTGTACGGTTCTGAAGAAGTGTCTCATGGTTTGTAGATCTTATACATTTTGGTTCTTTTTTAAGACTTAGGTGATGGGTGAGGTTTCATACACAATGTGTCGCTATTGGCTAAGAAAACGGTCTAGAAATCTGTGTGATGTAAAAGACGCCATTACAGTTCATTGGCTAAGGAAAAGCAATGCATTCAGTAAAGAAGCAGGTCTCTTTATAGCAAGGATTTTTTGGGAAGAATAAGTCTCTTTAAAAATTATTTGTATATTTGTCTTAAGCTTGTGAAACACGAAAAACGCCCGGTGGCTGGTATATCCTATTAATTTAAAGGTTGTTGAAGATTTGCTGTTAACGCGTTGGATAATAGCCACCCACTTCAATGGAATCGTGTATTACTGTGCACATCGGGAGAAGGTATGTGCCGGTTTTCGTATTTTTGTCTTTTATGTGGGGTAGAGCACTTTCTGTAACCCGCTATTCTATTCCCGAAGAAATGCAAGAAGGGTCTGTTGTTGCAAATGTAGCCGCTGATTTGG